AGAGTAGAAAAGTGTTTTTTTTTCAGTGCTTGCAACTAGCATGCACATAATACCAGACAATTGGTATTGTTTTTACTTCGAGCAACACATCATCTGAACAGAACGGCCTGTAGTTGCACCTAACACCTTAACAGCTATGCATAACCTCACATGTAAGGGGTTTTTCGTTTGTTGTACCTCTAACTGCCAGGTACGAAGAACATACGAACACCTTAGCTACCATATACAAGTAGCCTGGCATCTGAAGATTAATCTCTTGGCTTGTAAATCAGCAAAACCCTCTACATTTGCTGTCTGTTCCATCATGTTAGTCACTCCATCATGTGTTTTCATTTGAATCCACTAGAGGGCAGCAGAGGTCACTTCAGACCATTTCGTCTTCACTGCGCTGTATTTTCTCCAGCAGAAGTGGAATGTTGGTGTAGAGTTAAACCAAGATTCAAACTCCAGTAACCTTTGAACAAAGTGGCCATCCAGCCAGCACTTGCCAAAGCCTCACATTCCTCCTATTAAAGTTTGTTTTCTTGCATGTCTTTGAGTCCTGTAAGATTTGTCTTCTTGGCGCTCGTTCACGTGCATGTGTGTTTTGGCTGTAACCCGGCACGTGCTGATTAGAGCAAAGCTATGGAGTTGTTCCTCAAAAGTAAACCAAGTGAACGATTAATCAAGCTCTAATGACACCTTGCACAAGCTTTCTGTTAACTCAGAGAATCAATCTGTAACACTCTCTTATGCTTGATTGCTGACACAGAGGCTGGCTCCTGGTTCTGACCTGCGACTTGTCTTTGCGAGCAGATGTGACTGCTCTGCTTACTTGTTGGCGCTCATTGTGGCCTTTTTGCAGCTTCAGTAGTGGTTTCTGCTGTTAAATACAGGAGGGTGCCATTGCTTTTTCTTCTTTTTTGTGGCTTTCTGCTCCAGTGGTTTTGCGGTCGAGTGACGTTGCAGACATTCTGACTGTAGGAGCTGGAGAAGAATGGATCGCTTGCTCTTTGGTGACTGATGAAGAACAGAGTGCCTTTTCCTCCCATCATTTATACTTCTTCTGTTCAGGGGTTTCACTTTTTCTTGCAATTGTCCACTTCTTTGTCATTTTTTGCCCATCCATCACTGCATATTATGGCCACATTGTTAGTGCCTTGTGGAGAAATACTTAAAGTTTCCACGTTCTTTAGGCTGATGTCACAAGACAGATGGCATATCTGCTACTGCCAAATACCTTTGGGCAATAAATCGGTAGTTTCAGGGTAAGACCCTCAACCTCAAGTGGATCCACTTCCCTTTTAACAGCAGATATGGCTTCTCTTAAGCTTTGGATGGCTGTCTTTCCCTCCTCCCTGCTCCATTCTTCCATCTTCGACTCCAGAGGAGCGAGTAAGCGCGCGCGAGCGAACCACTAATAACAGAAGGCTATTTGTCTAGGGGCTCTCTGATCCAGACTTGCAGACTGGTTCCTATTCCACTGGAAATTAGGCCCAGTCTCTGAGCCTGTGATTGTTTTAATTCCACTAACAAATGATCTGAAAATAAATATATTGGGAGATCCAGTGCTGTAATAATGGCTCCATTGTAAGCTGTCGAGCACAGAGACTGTGTGTGTGTGTGTGTGTGTGTGTGTGTGTGTGTGTGTGTGTGTGTGTGTGTGTGTGTGTGTGTGTGTGTGTGTCTAGTGTATTGAGAAGGAGTTAGTCAAATCTTATTCAGAGGTTTGAATCTTCATTTTCTTTTGAATCTTTCCTCAAATTTTTCTGTTTTTATCAGTCAGTTTCTAATCTAGTTTTAGTGCATTTTTCCATTTCTTCAGAAGCCCATATACATTCAAACTTTTCATTCATCCTCAAAATGACTCAGAAAATACTAATTTTATTGTCTTCGCTTTTGTATTTTAAGAAGAGGTTCTCTGGAAGTCATTACATTTTGTCTTACAGACAGTTATATGTACTGTATTCTAAAATTTTGGTCAAAGCCAGAGTGATCCGAAAACCTGTTGAAAAATATTCTGTGTTACAGGTCTTGGGACATTTTTTAAAATATTTTTTTTCTGTATATAAAAAAGAATATTTAAAATTGTAACATTTTTCATTCAACTTCTTTGATGCAAAACGAAACAAATGAAGCATATTAATAAAAAAAAGGCACATTCACAACAGAAAACTGATTTAAATGTTTTAATGTATAAATAATATGATATACCATTATTTATATTAAATAAATAACTAACTTGTATGAAGGTTTCATAGGAGCAAAATAGGACAGTTTGGTTTTATAAAACAAAATACTATTTAATAAATTCTACTTTTTTATGTAAAGTAAAACATCAGAGCAAACATAATACGATATTTTATAAACAGCATTGCGAAAAAGCTGATTAAATAAATCAGTCAAAAGACGCATTTTGAGATAGCATTTAAACCAAATTATAAAACTTAACTTTACCAATTTGCTTAGTAACAAGTACGCTGAAAAAAGTGATTCAAAGATGATTCCTTGGATTTAAGATAAGTGGTTGTAAAACATTTGTTTGGCCTGAATTTAAACAAACAAAGTTAAAAATTACCATATAAATATATACATTTAATCTGTTTGTTTAAATTCATACCATATAAATTGTTTTTCACAGAAATCAACCTTTTTTTTTCAGTTTAATAGATGACTAAGACATAATGTTGCTGTTAGATTTACCCAAAGCAAATGTAATCTCTTGTTTATCCACTATTGAGACAAATAACTGAGTCAGCAGTAGATTCCAGAAATTGTGTCAGAGGTAATGATGCTCTTGGGATTAACATTGCAAGACCTCTCAGGAAAGTGATAAATACAGTTAAACTCAGAATTATAAACCCCCCGTTTATTCCCCCTCCTATTTTTGTTTAACAGAGAGAAGATTGAACACATTTCTAAACATAATAGTTTAAAGAACTCATTTCTAATAACTGATTTATTTTATCTTTGCCATGATGAGAGTAAATAATATTTGACTAGATATTTTTCAAGACACTTCTATACAGCTTAAAGTGACATTTAAAGGCTTAACTAGGTTAATTAGGTTAACTAGGCAGGTTAGGGTAATTAGGCAAGTCATTGTATAACGATGATTTGTTCTGCAGACTATCTAAAAAATAGACCTTAAAAGGGCTTATAATTTTGACCTTAAAAAATTAAAACTGCTTTTATTCTAGCCAAAATAAAACAAATAAAACTTTCTCCAGAAGAAAAAATATTATCAGACATACTGTGAAAATGTCCTTGCTCTGTTAAACATCATTTGGGAAATATCTAATAAAGAAAACAAAAATCAATGGGTGGCTAATAATTCTGACTTCAACTGTAAGTTGTTTGAGATTCAGAAATTTGAGACTATATACTCACTTTACACCAAACCTTATGCTGGGTCCTGGTTCATAAAACATGTTTCTTTGTGAAAGACATAACTTTTGTTTCAGTCCAGTCCCAATTCAAATATGTATCATGGGAATAAGTGCAATACTACAGACCACATGATGACATCTTAAAAAGTAATGAATTAATCTAAAGAAATAAACTTCTCTCTCTTGGCCTGTTCTGCCACTGTATTAACAAAGTCACATTGGTTAAAACCTGAAATTGTCGCTGTGGCTAACTATTAAGTCTTTCATTTTGAAATTCAGAAGTCTTAATAATAGGGCCCTTCAGGCTGCCGACGAGGGAAGGAATTTGCTGTGTTTGTTTCTTTCTTTTTGTTTGACATCCCGTACCCCATCACTGTGACGCAAATGCCTCTACTAAAGACGAGGGGAGTCACAGACAATAGCCAATGAAGAACAAAAGCGATGCTATTCTTTCATATGAAACCAAGACTACATCTGGACACCAGAATAAAGTAAAACATTGAGGTTCATAAGATGGCTATGAACAATAAAAGACATTTAAGATTGCCGAAATTAATATTTTAAACTCTAATCTCGTGAATAGGATGGAACTCTTGAGTTGCAAAGGTCTCTTCATGTGCCACCATCCGGTATACCCCTGCAGTGACGCACATGCCTCTACTCGAGATTAGAAGAACTTCTAAGATGAATATAATGATGACGCTCAGTCTTTGCTCAGTCCAATTAGTGCATCTAGACCTCCTTGTTCTCAGAGAAAAAACTCAGCATAAACAGTGTTGTTTTGACTCCTTTTTGTGGAAGCACCGAGCAGTCACAGGGCCCACCTTGCATCCTGTTGTTTCTGCTTGGTTGCTTTTCTCTTGTCTTCATGGTGTTGAAGATTTCTTTTTTGTAAAGAGCCCCTTTTTTGTCTGCTTCAAGAGCCCTCCATGCCTGAATCTTGCTCCCCACTAAATAACTTGAGGGGACAGTGAGGGGAAGGTTGCGTGAGCGTTAAGCGTAGTCATGACGTCAGATGGTGTTCGTTAAAGAATAGCGTCCTATTGAGGGAAAACTCATCTGAACTCTTACATTTTGCTTATGGGAAGTCCTTTTCCCAGGTGCCTTTCCTTTTGTAGTCACTAATGAGTAAAGACGTACTTTGTCAGTATGTTGCACAATATCGCTATTGAGTTGGAACGTCACAAGGAAAATGATTGACGTAAGCTCTGACTGTGTTCCTACTTGAGTGTGTCTGGGATTTCGCAATTAGTGGGAACTTGAATTCTTTTGCCTATTGTTTAATAGATTAAATCAGATTAGCCGTTGTTAGTTTTGTAGAATTAAATCTGTATAATTCTCACCGTCCTTCAAGGAAGTGAAGTCATATTAATTATTATGATCACTCATTCTTTAAACAAGCGGAAAATATAATCTTTGACCACCTTACACGATGAATCATTAGAAATAATTAGATGTGGAGTCCAATTTTTTTTTGTAACTTTATCGACATTAATATAAATATGTTTCATAGTTCGAGCTGAATCTATATGTTCAGTAAATATTTGTGCTGAGGTTTTTCATATATTCCAGAGGCTCTGTATTTTCCTGTGGTCTGTGAAATATGTTAATGTGTTTGTGTACATTTTCCAGGCACAGGTGCAGATCGCCCGTGACAATGCTGTGACCTCACAACAGCGGTCAGCGAGTGGACGGAGGATACGGAAGGAAGGATACGGAAGCACGGAGGTGGACAGAACTGGAAACAATCCCTTCTCAGAACAGGATTCTGGGATCCTGGATGTGGATGATGAACAAGAGGAGGAGGTGAGAGCGGATAGAGAAGCCATGTTTAGTTTATTTTAAGTCTTTGGGAAGTTGTATCTAGTCTTCTTTGGGAATTGTATTCTGTTCTTAATCTTTTTGTCTTAAGGTTCTGGTTTACTTCAAACAAAGTCCTTTTTCGTTTGATGGTGAAAAGACTGAGTGACGATATACATTTTACACTATGCTTAAGTAGGTGGGGTTGTAAATGCGTCATGCTGCTTGTGTGTACCCCTAAACACAAAGGTAGCAGCTGAGAGAGAAAACATTTTGGTTAACAACTGGCAAATGGACTTTTCTAGCATGTCGCACAGCAGACAAGAAGCACCGCTGTGATGTGCCACATCTTGTTTTTTATTTGTGCTTAACAGACGCTCAGTACTGCTGTTGGGTGCACTCTTATAGAAAAGACATTGTGTGATGCAGTGGAGCTTCTCGACTCAATCTAAAGTCTCCCAAGTGATGGTACAGGTGTAGATTCATTTGTAATAGCTCTGCTACTCGACTCTCCAGTGTATTCATATGGCCAGTGTTGTTTTGGATGTTGTTTGCATTGGTGAGCTATTTCAAATTGCCTAAATGAACTCAAAACAAATTTAGTTTTGTCTGAGTTTTGTTCGAAATTACATCTTTTTAGTTCTTTCTTGGATTTAATTTGAAGTATACCAGGACCTTTAGTCTCACCTATTTATAGTCTGTTTGTAATAGGGAATGTTACAATTTTGTTCAGATTCCTTCCTCAAATTTTTTGGCATTAATTTTGAAATGTATGTTTTTTTTTTTTTGACAGATGACAGGAAAATTTAAATGTGGTGTTAATTTGTTCATATCTATGCCATTTGAGATATAAGTGACTTTTTTTTTGTTTTCTTCAGTGCTGTACTGTAAAGAAAACTTCTGGTCCTTATTAATTCATAGAATGCAAGTCAAGGGCCACCAGCTCTTTGAAAGTACTTAAAACATAAACAGAAAAAGTAAATCAAAACCTCTGCCCCCTGATGATGCACTAAGAAATTCAAAAATAATTTAAAGAAATTAAACTATCCTGTTTGTTAAATGCCATACAATAAGTTTATTTTTATTTTAACTCTCAATGTTCTGCTACCCATTAACTTGTGTTTTTTGAATCACAGTTTCAGCTAAAAATATCTAGCTTATTTTGTACTGAAGGAAAAGGTCATCTGTAGTCTAGTAATTCATTCATTCATTCATTATTTCCTTAATTTTCCTTATTCTCTGATTTATCAGAGGTCGCCACAGCGGAATGAACCAACAACTATTCCAGAATATGTTTCACACAGTGGATGCCCTTTCAGATGCAACTCATCATCCATACACTCTCATTCACACATGTACACTACAGACAATTTATCTAATTCAGTTCACCTATAGCACATGTCTTTGGACTGGGGGGGGGGAAACCGGAGCATTCAGAGGAAACCCATGCGAAAACAGAAAGAACATGCAAACTCCTCACAGAAATGCCAACTGACCCAGACGGGACTCAAAGACGTTCATTTTGAGTTGAGCTTAATCAATTACTATGTGACTCGGGTTAATTCAGTTACTGTGGACTGATTCATAAGTCTTTTAAAATAATAAATAACAGGCTTATGACTAGAAAACACTCATTCACTGAATATTTTAGTGTTGTGCTTGGTACACATTAGTGAAAAGTCGAAAGTTGTTAAAATCATTCAGTTCCAAAACTTTCTTATCAAAGAAAAATCAAAGCATCACTGAATATTAACTCTCCAATCCTAGTCTGTATTTCCTATCCCAGCAGGCTTGCTGTTGGACTGCTGCCCAGTCCAGGATCTCCTCCCTTTCTTAATGGAGCGTCTCAGCTCTGCAGTCGTTTAGTGTCATTAGGGCTGCCCTGCTCCTCCGAGGCAGCAATGTGAGACGTGTGGAGCATGCAAGACGTGCTCCCCAGCTGTAGCGGCCACCAGCAAGCACAGAAAGACGGTCTTGCTTCATTCCTAAGAGAGAAATTAAACTGACGCAGTCAAGACGGTCACAGTCGGTGTTTAGTTCGCGTTGAGTTTATTTTGACGTGCCCAGATAAGCGTTGTTTGTGTTTTGTGACTTCTTCGCTTGTTTTGACATGTGTTTTCACTTACTTAAACCGGAGGAACACGAGATTGACACTACTTGTGTTTGTAACCAAAGCACTGCTGATGGACACTTTGTTTTGAGTTTGTGTTAAGAAGACACTTTAGCAGTTAACACAGAGGTACTGAATAAACAATAATGTAATTGTTGACTAATGTTACCACCTCTTACCTAATTTTGTGACGGGGTAACACTCTAGTTACTGTAGGTCAACTCTCACAGTAGATTCACAATAAGTGAAAATCTTACCTTTAACTGACCCTGGTAAAGTTAATGCCTTTTGCCCTTTTGTTTGACCTTTCCCCCTTCCCTTCCCTCCGTGCTTCAATCAGCCTGTGCGTCATCATGTTTTCCTCCTCTGGCTCCTGTTCGAAAGGGACTGCTTGTGCCAGCCTTTAATCTGCCTGAATCTCTGTGCTCAGGGGCTTCCTGAGAAATGTTTGTATCCAAAGATGCCCGTTTTATGACCCCTTGCCACCTGAGCGATGTCCCCCTGCGCCCCTTTGTCCTGTCTGTAAACTGTTTCTAGGGGAGTACGTTGGTGTGAACACGCCATCCGCGAACCGGACAGACATTTCCAGCCCTGTCCCAGTGGCACATCAATGCAGAATTGTTTTTCCACATTCTCTCTGGGTTATTGTTGGTGGTGCCACGACATAATTGGGTTTGGATGTCCCTGGTTGCCGTTTTGCGGGCACCAGATCAAAGCTGGTATTGTTTAGCTGGCCATTTGTTTTACTTTTTGGGAAAAAAAGTTCTTACTTGACCACTAAGGTCAAGGGTGGTTCAAGTCAAAGGGGATGTAAGGACACATTCAGTTAAACCTACGTTCATATATTGTTGAATACTGTATATAAATATGAATAAATACAAATAATATTGGATGTTTATAGTGATTATCTTCATAGTGCTGCTAATCTGTACAAGTGACGTATTTCTCACTGGCTTGTCTGTATTGCAGGTTCCTGGTGCGCATGACTTGGTGGACTTCTCTCCTGTGTATCGCTGTTTACACATCTACACTGTATTGGTGAGTGTCTTATTTGTGATCTGTTAAGTTTGACTTTTACGTCAGAATAAAATGTTGATGTTGGCCCTCACGCTTGCACACTTAACCTGCACTTTATTCCCCAGGGGCTCTTGTTGCATTGTGTGGTTCGCAGGGAATGAATATCTATTTCGGCATATGTTCATGAACCTTTCAAATATGGTTTTAGTGTGAGTGTGTGTGTATGTGTGTTTGTGTAAGTGTGAAAGAGAGGTTTTTATTCAACGTTTTGTAAGTTAAATTGTTTTACACCACCATTCAAAAGTCTGTTGTCAGAAAGAGCTTATTTTGAAAGTAATTAGTGTTTTATTCTGCAGGGATTTATTAAAGAGCCCTTATTATGCATTATACACTTTTATTGTCTTATAATATGCATTTATTTTTGCCTAATTATCCCAATGACTCCCATGTGATTCATTCAGAGATTCATTTGTTCCCAAACTCCTCCTTAGCGCTAATCTGCATTTATTAATCCGATGACCCAATCTGTTGCTATTGGTCGACAACGTTCAGCCCAAGAAATAGAGAAACGCCCACCATGGCTTATCAACATTGTTGAAGTAGTCAGAGTGCAGAGTGTATGTGTGAGCCCAATGCTGGAGTGCATCAAAGCAATGCAGTTTAATACCAGCATATTGTTCTATTCTCAACCATAATTAAAAACAGTGACACACATTCAGTATTAATCCACACAGTGACAAAAGCTGAACTATTCTGATACTTGAGCACTGCATGTGTGTAGGAACAGCTGACTGTAACCATAGCAACGTCAAGCAGCAGTCAAACGCGAGTTCACAAACACATTTAAATCCGTAAAGAAAGCAGGACGCGACGCGTTTTCAATGTGGCTTTAGATGCGATATGTTAAAATAAAGAGTTTACCAGATACAGTACAAGCCGCGTTGAACGATTACAATTAACAAAACACAATTAAATACATAATTTAGAAGCTAGAGAAAGCAAACTAAACTATTTTAATCACATTTAAATTACTTACACTTGTAAAATGGAGGAAGAAACTGATTGATTGATACGAACTCTGTTCTGTAAAGTTCCTGTCACTTTTTGACAGTTCCATACATCAATAGTCTTTCCTGATCCTTTCTTTAACAAACGGCTGACAAATCCCCTGTTGCAGCGTAGATTATTGAATTAATCACCAGAACGTTCACTCATTGACGTTCACTCATCTTTAGTCATGATCAGTCCCATGAACACCCACACTCAGCTAGCGTTTGAAGGGGAAGGTGCGTTCACGTTTTACTGGATCCAGCACAGAACATATTTGGTATTGTTTCGTGTCGATGTCGATACAAACAGGCAAAAGATCCAGACGAACAATGAATCATTTAAATGACACTGAGTTTAATCTTTCAGATTTAAACCTCACATGCATGTTTTCATTCACTTAGAGCTGTGTTGAACACTGCATGGAAGGTCATTTTCAAAAACCTGTTATAGGGTCTCATTAAATTGTGACTATAGATTTAGAAATGTAGATATTAGTAAGTTTATATAAGTAGGCATATAAGTTTCTGTAATTTTTCTATAATATTTCTATATATGATATATATTGCAAACATTTTTTAGAGTTGTAATTACATTTCACTTCATGACTAATTTAGTTTAAATCATATGTGCAGCCTGGTGAATGTAAGAGACTTCTTTGAATCCTGATTGTTAGAATGGTAACACAATTGTGTTTGTGTATGATTTTGATTAGATGTATGGCTGCATAATTAAATAAAACATAGCTCAAATGGAAGCTCAAAGGGAATCACTTACGCATTTGCATTTCTTGCTCAACATGGTAAAGGTCTTTGCACACTGAAGTCCGAAATGTTAGTATGCATTTTTTTGTATTAATACATGAAAAATTCTTCACGTACACAAACCTTGCACAGTGAGTCTGATGCCTATAAATGAATCCATTACGAAAAAACGCGAAACATTTCAGAATCTGTTCAAGCAGTGATGCATTCTCCTCTCTTCTCCAAAGTAGAAAAAGAATATTCTACATATTGTGTTCATCCAAAGAGAAAGAAGAGTTCAGCTCATTATTAAAGAGCTGCACTGGATAATCCAGAAATTCAACATTTATTTCAGGAAATCAGTGGAACTTTGATACATTGCTTGTGATGCTTCACACATTCATGTACTTAAGCAAATCCTGAACAGACCCTGGCAGTGCCTATAAACATTATAATAGATGGTGGCGGCCACATTGACATGTCAAAGCAACGGAATGAAAGTGGATCATGCTTTCTATATAATGTCCTTGGGCAGTACGTCCAGTGTATGGACACACACACACACAAACACCAAGCAGCAGCAAGGCAAAGATGTGCCAGCCACCAAATCCAGTCATCCATCACTGTGTTTGTCAAAATGTTGTCTGTATTTTTCATCTGTAGCTTAATTGACGGCATTCTGTATTTATCTTTTTGCTTGTACGGTGGCTCTAAAACACCTCTCTAGGTGCTTTTTCGGGTGCAAAAAGCTGAGAAAATCAAAACCGGTTTAAGTTTTTTATGACAGACGAAAGTTTCAGAGGCATTGTGCCAATACGACTAACACAACATGAGGTTGAACTTATTTTTAAAATACAGACAAACATTTCGTATTCAGTGTGCAATAAGTGTGTATGTATGTATGTATGTATGTATGTATGTATGTATGTACGTACACACACACACACACACACACACACACACACACACACACACACACACACACACACATATACAGGGCTTGACATTAACTTTTTTGTTTACCAGCCACTGTGGCTAGTAGCTTTCCAACATTACTAGCCATTAACCATTTTTACTAGCCACACTTTTGTTGTTGGAAAAATACATTTTAATTGCATCAATTTGACTTTGACATGCTAAAATTACTTGATTTAGATGTTGTGTTATGTCCACATGCCACCTCATTCATTTCACTTTTTGTGTGTGTTGTGTATGAGCTTGCTCAATGAGCATAAGCGAAACATAAGAAATTATTAAATTATTATTACAAAACCTTTCTTAAAAAAAAAAGACATTTAAAAAAGTATTGTCATGTATCTAAAATATCCACAGTTATCTGTCCAGACTAAAGATCCCAGATAACCAGTTAACTGCACATAAACGGGGAGTCAATCTCATATAAAAGAAATATTATTGTAAAAAAAAAAGAAAAGATAATTAATAAACCATATTAACAAAAATAACTGTAAGCAAAAGAATTTTACACGTGCACATGATTAATGTTAGGCCTGTTAATAATCTGTTCAAAGAATAATTAAAACAAAAGCAATGACTGCTCTTGCATACAGAAGGATAGGCTATATGGGTATATTTAAATCTTGAGCTCTTGAAAGCAGCAGGACTGCGGGTGCACGATCATTGCTTTTTGTCCAGTCTATTTCAAGGTGAACCGATCGCACCAGTTGTGTTTCCTCTTGGCACGGTTGCTTCGCGCAAGTAAACAGGAACATGCGCGCTTTTTAACAGTAAGCACATCGCATCATGTGGGCGTAAGTGATCATCCGTCCATTTGGTATTCACCTGCTTTCTTTTGTTTGCGCAAAAACTTTTTTTTTTAGTCTTGCAGCTTCTCAATTCTAAGATCGTATTTGCACGAATATTGGGCCATCTTTATTGTCGAACCCTGCTTTTAATAAAACTACAATTTAAAAATGATTTCCAACCAGCCAAAGTGGCTAGTGTGAGTGTCTGTCTAACCCGCCAAAGCTAAAATCTACCCATTTGATGGGTTGGCGGGTGTTAATGTCAAGCCCTGTGTGTGTGTGTGTGTGTGTGTGTGTGTGTGTGTGTGTGTGTGTGTGTGTGGGTGTGGGTGTGTGGGTGTGTGGGTGTGTATTTCCCCCCTCCCCCCACAATTTATTCTGTTAATTTGCAATGACTAGTCATTTAGAATCTCAGCATCTCACATCATTTGTTTGTGAATAAGGTTGCTTATATTTGCCAATGGAAACCATTTCGTAGTTTACCAGCAAGTTCTACACCCAAAAGTACCCTGGAATATTTTCTGTATAAATAAAATTTGATGCAGCCATAATGATAGTGCATCAGTGTTAATTTACTAGCTATCAACTTTCTAATCAGGCAACTATAGACTCAGAAGTCTTTAAACTATTTGCTTTTGTACCAGCATGTTTCAAAATAAAAGCGTGAACTGGGTGTAGGTCTACGTGGTTGGGTGAGTACGTCTGTTTGTTTTTTTTACACAAGTACGCACGTGTTTGTTTTTGGAGTGTACTTGCTGACAGCTCCTCGTGAAGACTCTCGAATTGTTCGAGTTGCTGGAATGTCACTTTTACGACCCCCCCGGCCTGTAAATTTAATGTGCGAGCAGACGAACTGTCATTACTACAATAGTCTTTGTTATGGAAGCTGGTGAGAATGGCATGCTGGGGGATCAGGGCAAAGAGGAAGCCTTTAGATTTCTCATATCGCCCTTTTTCTGACAAGTCCAAAGCCTGGTCCAGGAGCTGTCTGAGAACGCTAAAGAAAGGAAGGAAAAGTATGGGATGAGAGAGTTGTTTGAAAGTGAGTCACAGAAGGGACGGCACACATAGTGTTTTGAGCTTAAAGGAAAGAAAGCAAACAAAACCCCGATAAGCGATTCGATGTGTTTCTTTTTAAGGAGGAATGTTCATGTTTTTGTGTTTCCTTTCCCAGGTGACCCTCGAGTCACCTCGAACCCTGGGAAATCACACTGCTCACTTATACAAAAACAATCAGAATTGCACTTTATGTGTCCCCGAAGGACTTTTTTGTTTAAATGGTGAGCACAGACTGATGAACGCCTGTCTGAATGTGCTTATGGCAGATACTTCCCATTCACTGTACATTCACAGTCTTGAATGCCCCCACAGGAAGGAAGTTGTTGAGGCTATTGTATGTTTATATGGCGATCGACCGGAGTGTGACATCACTTCAGATAATTTAAACAAACTTTATGTAAACACTGCA